AGCCAGGGCCTTGCCACGTGTCCCTGGACCAGCAGGTGGCGGAGGCTGCTGCCCAGCCTGGGCCATCGTGGAGCTGGCGTCCTGGTTCTTCCTGATTGGGCCGGGCAGCTGGGTGCAGAGGAGGCCCAGCAGGGGCAGTGGGAAGCCCCCTTCCCCGCCCCGGGGCCTGTTCTGGACAAGCTCTGCCCACAGCCCTGCCACCTCCACTGGTCTGTCCTGCCGGGTCCCCATCCAGCGCTGCCCTGACCCCAGCCTCCCGCTCTCAGGCACAGGCTGGGCAGCTCCTCCTTCCTGCCCCCCACATGCAGGCCTCTTCCACACCTGCCCCCCCCCCCAAAACGGGCGTGGGCCGGGCCAGGCGGCCGGGTTCAATTTGCTGTCCACCTGGACTGAGTGAAGAGCGTCTCTCTCCGCAGGTGATGCGCGTCTGGCCCTGAAAGCCAGCGGTCGGGTCACCCTATTGGGCGGGGGGTGTGGGCGGGCACCGCAAGGCCTGCAGACCTGGATGAGGCCCAGCGGGGGAGACAGGAGGTTGGTGGCCGGCGTTAAGTGCTTGGGTGTCGCGGGCGTACGTCGACTCTGTCATTCTCGCCCTAGGCCAGTGAGGGGACTGGTGTCTCTTGCCTCTGGGTACCCAGAGGGACTGCTGCCCCGACGTCGGGGGCTGGGGGGGCAAACCCCGACCCCAGAGCCGCCCCTGCGGGGGGTGGGCCCGGAGGCTGGCCCTGGGGCGGAGCCTTTGGCCTGCAGGTGTTTCACGGGTGCTGTCGGGAAAGCCCACAGCTGGCGGCGAAAGCGGGGCCCCAGCCCCAGCCCCAGCCCCAGCCCCAGCCCCAGCCCCAGCCCCAGCGGCTTCCCGGAGGCGGCGAGGCGGCTGCCCCAGGGGCGCCCAGGGTCGGAGCGGCACCCCCGTGGCCTTGGCCCCCTGCGGCGGCCGGGGCTGTCGCAGTGGCAGGGGCACCTGCGCTTTGGGGGCCGGCCTGGAGGGGCCACGGTGCTGGGCGGAGTCACCCCCACCCCATGTGAGGGGGCGTCCCCCACACGGGGTCCCCCAGGGGAATCGAGGAAAGCAGTCGCCTTGTTCATTTCCTGCCTCACAAGAAGCTACTGTCCTTCCGGGAGCGGCTCCCCCACAGCAGCGTTTCTCAGAGCTGGTGTGTGACCAGTAGGGGACTCCGGGGCCCCCCAGCGCTGCCCCCGCGCCCTCCGTAGCTGGCGTGGTCACGGGGACTGTTTGTGTAGATGGAGCGTTTGTCGCCTTCACCACGCTGCCCAAGCGCTGCGGTCTGAACACTCAGGTGCTGAGCGCACGTGTCGGTTGCTGAGAGCGGCCTGCTTCCTCTGTAACGTTGCCGCTGGGACGTCCCCAGGTTTTTAAATACGGTGGGTGTGTTGCTGAGCCTCGGCGAGGAGCATGTGACAGGGTTGCTGGTACGAAGCAGCGTGGGGTGTGGTGGGCTTGGGCCCCCGAGTTAGGAGAGGGGTGTCCGTGTCCCAGGAAAATGGTGTGAGCAGCTCGGTGTGGGGATCCCTGTGGACTCATCAGCTTTGAGTGTTGTCCTGAGCTCGGTGGGGACCTGGGGTTCGGCTCATCGTGGGAGTGGGGGTCGAGCTCCAGAGAGGCCAGCCTGCTGCTGTGGGGCTGGCAGGAGGGGCCGCGGGCGCCCGGAGGCCGTGCCAAGTGTGCAGGTGGAAGATGTGTGGCGGGGGATGGAGAGGAGGGTGGGCGTAGGAGGTGTTGGCCATGGCACCCACGGGCCGGCGGGGCTGTGGGGCTGGGGGGCCAGGGGTAAGGAGCGAAAGGGCCGCCCAGGCACCTGGGGCGAGCGGGCTGGACGAAGGCGGAGCCTCTGAGCCGGGGATGGGTGCAGGGCGAGGAGCAGCAGCCTGTGCGGGCCTGCGGGTGCCTGGGGTCACGCGCTGCTGGGACGGGTTGCCCCCGTGTGGGGACCTGCCGCCAGCACCTCCCATGTGAGCCTTCAGTGGGCTGATGCCTGCTCCTGGGGGCAGTGGTAGAACCGAGGGGCCTAAGATTCGGGGGTGGGGGGGGCGCTGCTGTTCCCCAGCATGAACCAGCCCTGTCCGTGACTGCCCCCAGCCTGCGGCCAGTCTGGGGCCTCGCTTCAGGCTGCCCTGGAGAGGCCTCCCTCCCTGGCCCTCAGCCAGGCCTGTGTGAGTGGCGGGAGGGTCTCTGCTGGGCAGCTGCAGTGAGGCCGCCCCCGGGAATCCCATCCCGGGCAGGGCTGCCAGCGTCCCTGGCGAGTCGAGGCTGGCGGTGCAGCAGGGCCTGTGTTCCTGGAAGCAGCTCCAGAATAGTCGGGTGTCCCCGTGGGCGTGGAGCTGCCTGTCCTGCAGCTGAGGCTTCGCTCTCTGGGAAGTTAGCTGCCCAGTTTGCAGCGCTGCTTCTGGGCCCTGCACCCCTGTGCCCTGCTGGGTGGCTCTAGGTGCCCACCTGAGCTGCAGTCTGAGGAGTGCGGGGGTCAGGGAGTGGCCAGCTGGCCGGGGGAAGCGCAGGCAGTGGAGCTCCCGGCTCTAGTGTTCTAGACCCTCAGTGCCCCGTGGGCTCAGGGGGCCGGGGGACTGGAGGTTCAGGCAGAGGAGGGCGGGAGCCCCCTCCTTGGCGATGGGGCCTTTCCCTTGAAGGAGCCTCGCAGGGAGGGCCCCAGCGGGCGGCACTGGGTCCTGGGGCTCGGGTGCGCTCCTCCGGCCGGTCCTGCGCCCCCCTGGGGCCGGGCAGGTCAGTGACAGCCCAGCAGGGCCCCCAGCTGGCTCTGCCCCACTGTGAAGAAGCGTGGGCTGCGCCCGCCCAGAGGACAGTCCCTTGCAGCCCTCAGCCTGGATCCGTCGGGGGCGGGCACGGGGTGGGGGGGAGCCCAGCAGCCAGCTGAACCGGCACCAAGTGGCGGGATCTGGCCGGCGGCGTCGACTTCGGTGGTGAGGTGGGCACGCTTTTCTGAGGTCTCTGAGCCAGATGGGACGCCTTCCTGCGGGCTCCTGCCACGGCCAGCAGGCGACTTACATGTTTTCTTGAGACGTTTTTTTCCTCTTTTTTTAATCTTTACCTGAGAATAGTTTTTCAGTGCTTTTTGGGGGGGGGGGAAGAGAGAGAAACATCAGTGTAGCAGAAACATCAGTTGGTGGCACTCGCCGGCTCCCAGGCCAGGGACCCGACCCCACGGCCTCTGGGTGTGCGGACGACGCTCCCACCGCTGAGCTACCCGGCCAGGGCCCCTGAGACACATCGTACTGAGTCACTGTGTCGCGGGCACGCGCGTGTGTCCTCATTCAGCGCTCACGCTCGGCGAAGAGCCGTCGTGCCGACTCTTGGACAGAAGAGAAGGCGAGGCTCCGGCAAGGACACAGGCCTTTGGGGGCACTGCCAGGAGGTCGAGGTGCTTCTCAGGTTTGAGGACGCTCGTGGCTTCCCCTCAGCCTGTGTCCCTGCAGCCACCCCTGCGGGCCGGCCAGGCGGCCAGTCAGCGCCCTGCACGGGTTTTCTACAGCTCGGGGTCGTCTCTTCCGTGAAGCCTGCCCTGACCCTCCCCCGCACCCCGCTGGGAGCCAGGGGCCAGCAGTTCGGAGAGTCTGCCCCTGGCCGGCTGCCGCCCCCGTGGCTCTCATCTCGGTCCTCGGTCCTTCCACTCGTCCTGCCCCCGTTTTCTCGGTGGCATCAGCCCCTCTGGGTTGGTCTTCTTCACGTGTTGTCTGTCTCCCTCCTTAGACTCTGAACTTTCTTTCCAAAGGCAGGGCAGGCATCCCTTGGTCCCCACTGTGCTCTGGGGCTTGGGACAGTGCCTGACGCCGGGCGCACACACCATAGCCACACAGGGACTGAGCGAGTGGCGTTTCGGGGCGGGACCCGGCTGAGGGAGCCAGGCTTTGTGCTCGCAGCCTGGCCCGTCTCTGAGGGGCTTGGCCCCTGGGTCCCTGCCAGGGAACCGCAGGCAGGTTCACGTCACCCCAGACGTCGCAGCCGCCCACAGAGCCAGCAAACACACAGAGCCCCCGAGGGGACCCCACGGGGAGCTGTCTGGTGTGAGGGTGGTGGGTGGAGCAGCCACGCCCTGGGGGCACCGTGGGCTCCCTGCTGGGACGGGCTGGAGAGAGCTGACAAAGGGCTGCAGGGACAGAGCATCACGCCCCCAACTGTGGGCAGGCGGCACGCGCCCTGGCCTCCGCCCGCAGGGGCTGCGAGGTCCGGAACTGGGAGGTTTCTGGCTGTGACCCAAGGACACTTTTATTGGAGTTACAGAAACAGTCGGAGCTTGGCGTTAATATCGCCTAATTATGCCTCCTTTTCCTGACAGGGCTTGTGTGTATTTATGTACCTTTTAAATTGCATCTTCCAACACCCTCAGCGAGAAGCCATTTGAGAGGGAATCATCGTTTGTCTTCAGGCTGCAGGAACGGGGTCTGGGCGGGGCGTGCGGGACGCAGCGGGAGATCCTGGTTGTCGTGGGCGCCCCCCGGGGCCGGGGGGCTCCGGGCAGGGAGGCGGGGCGCGCTCCGTCACGCTGGCGCCAAGGCTGCTTCGGCGGCAGGAGCAGCCAGAGCCGCCAGAGCCACCGGGAGCCTGGCGGGCTTCCCTGGTCCGGGCGCGCGCGGTCCGCAGCTCCGGAGGAGAAGCCAGAGCCGGCCGCCCTTCCCTCCGCCGGGCAGGCGGCCCTTCCTGAGCCGCTCTCCGCGCTGCGCAAACGTGCGGCCCCGGACCCTTCGGGCCGCCGGGCTGGACGTGGGTCTGGACATGAGGAGCCGCCGGTGGAGAGGGGTTGCCCACGCTGCCGCCGCCCCTGGAGCCTTGTGACAGCGGGGACTTCCCTCCCGCGGGGCGGTCTGACTCGACCTGCTGGCAAGAGGCGGCCAGCAGAGGTCCCCTTCCTCCCGCAGTTTTTGGGGAGTGATCTTGAGGGGCTTGCTGGCCGCTTCAGACCTCGCGGACCCTGGTGGAATTTGCAGGCGGCCACGATGGTGCAAAATGTGATTCTGGTGTTTTTCCGCAGACGCCTGAGCCAAAGACCTGCCGTGGAAGAGCTGGAGAGGAGAAACATCCTGAAACGTGAGTAGCCGCGATGGCCCCGGTGTCCACGCACGCACGCACGCACGCACGCACACACGTGTGTGGGCTCAGGCTGGCTGACGAGCCGGCCTCCCCCCCGCGCGCCCGGCTCCGCGCCCCCGGCTCCGCGCCCCGCTCCGCGCCCCGCTCCGCGCTGTGTCCCCGAGAAGTCTGAGCCGCTGAGCGAGTGGGACAGCAAACCCCAAAGGAAAGTTAGTGTACCCAGAAACACCCCCCTTTAAGATAGGGGGCGGGGGGTCCTTCTCCTGACATGGCTGCTGACGCCCTGTCCGTGGGCCCCCAGTCAGTCCTGTAAGCAAACCCACGGGGCTGAGTCAGCACTGTTCCATGTGTCCAGTTCCAGGTGGGTTTCCCCAGCGGTTTCGAATGGGGGTCCTTCCATTTGAATGGGGCCCCTTCCATTTGAATGGGGCCGCAGACGTCACCGGCAAGGCTGGACAGGATCGGGATCCTGCCAGAGGACATGCCCCTCCCTGGGACAGGCAGGCCGCTCTGCGGACATGGAGGCCTGGGGAGTGCGCGTTCAGGACGCCCCTCCCGGCCCCGCACCGCCGGCCCGTGTGCCTGGTGAGGCACCTGGCTTGGCGCCGTGACCCAGACACAGGCCCCCACGGCAGAAGGGTGCATCCCGCTGGCCCGAGGCAGCGGCGGTTTGAGTGACGAAGCCCTCCCCGCAGTGCCTCTCAGCCCGCGGGTCCCTGGTGTCTGGACGGCGGCCTCCGCTCCTCAGGGCCGTTCCCGCGCCACGTCCTCCTGGGGCCTGGGCATTGAGGCCGTTCCCCTTTCCTCTTTCCAGGAGGAGACCCGCAGACGGTGTCGGGTTTGGTTCCCACCCTGTGGATGTGTTTCCACAAAGACCCGGCGCTGTCCCTCCGAGAGCAGCCCCGGGGCCGGCCCCTCCCCTCCCCTCCCCTCCCCTCCCCTCCCCTCCCCTGGTCTCCGAGGTTCGCTCCTGCACGGGACGCCGGGGACAGCTGCCCTGAGGGTTGGGGGTTCGCTGCTTTGCCTTTCGACTTGAGCTGGGACGGTGGCTGTTCCGCTCTGTGCGTGGGCCGCCTGTGCGGATGGAGGACAGGCTCTGCGTTGATGACATGCTCAGTCACGTGGGCAAGTGGAAAAGTCAGGCTAAGTTACTGGACACGTGACTCTTTAAAGATGGGCGTCCCTAGTCTGCAAAGCGCACCAGTCACAGGCGTCCTGCAGGCAGAGGTTCAGGACGCGAGTGGGACGAGGTCGGGCCCAGGCTCCAGCAGTGCCTCCGTCCGAGCGGTCTGCTGCCCACGGGCAGCGGGGCCTCTGTCCAGGGAGCCGCCCCCCGGGCCTCAGCGACCCGTCCTGTGTTGGGGGCCAGCTGGGGGTCCCCACCAGCCTTCGCGTCTGATTGTGCTGCTCTTAGCACATCGTGGCAGAGCTTCACAAGCAGGGTCTGAGCTTGGTGACTAGAGATGGCAGGGGACAGGCAGCGCTGCGCTTGCTTGCACAGCAGGGGAGGCGGGCGCGGGTGTCCTGTGTGTGGCTGTGGCAGGCCCATCCTCTGACGCATCCTGGCTCGGCAGGCGCCCCCCGCTGGTCAGCAGCACGTGTGTCTTGTCCCGTGTCTGGCCCGCAGGCCCCACGCACCCTTCAGACGCGCCTGCTCTGTGGCCTGTCCTGCTTGGAATCGCCCCGAGGGCGGCCGCCCCGGGCCACTGCCAGAGTGGGAGTGCAGGCCCGCGGCAGGGCTCTCAGCGCGCGGCCTGAGGACTCGGGCTCAAGAGCACAAGGCACGGCCGGCCCTGGCGCACGATGTCCTGAGCAGCGCAGTGCCCCCGCCCTGGGCAGGCGCGGTCCTTGGTGCCTCCGTCCCTCCCTCAGCCTCGCAGCGAAGCCCTGGCGTCTGCTCTGCTGCCCACCCCCGCCCCGGGAGGAGGCCGGGACCCAGCGGGGGCCGTAGCACCTCTCCATGTAACTCTTGGCAAGGGGCAGGGCTCAAGTTCACGCCCAGGTGGACGGGGGACTCGTGTGGGGCTGTCCAGTCCCCAGGCCCAGGGTGCCTTGGCTCTGGGGTTAGAGACGCGCCAACGTGTCGCTGCGTTGCTCGGTGTGGCTCAGGCTCCCAGGAGGGCTTCTTGGAGGTGGTGCCCAAAGGAGGCCTGGCGGGCACATCCGAAGCGCCCGCCGCGCTCCCGCGACCTTGGCGCCGATGCCGCCTGTGCCCACGACCCAAAAAGGAAGACCCGGGTTTTCCTCAGTGTTTGCACATGGAGGCTGTGCTTGGGAATCATCCGTCAGATTTATGAGAAAATCTAAAGAGTTGGCCTCATGTTGTCATGGAAGTTCCTCGGGGTTGGCCTTGTACCCGGTACTTCTGCCTTTTTGTCCCGGTTGTGTTATCAGCTCGCTGACTGGAGCTTGTGACTGGGGTGTCTCCTGGTCCGTTACTTGGATTCCCTTCATAAAGCACACGAACGCGAGGGGGCTTCTCCTTTCTAAAGAAAATCATGGACCGAGCAAGGGCTAGTGTGTTAAATATCCGTACACTTCGTCCCCCAAATGCACACAGGTTTGAAATTATTTATAGCTCATAAATTTTAATTTATTTTTTTAGAGCGAGGGGAAAGAAGCTGGGGAGAGAGGCGTGTAAGGAAGGGGAGAGAAACCGACTTGCTGTCCCACTGGCGGACGCGCCCTCGGTGGCTGCCTGCCTGTGCCCCCCGCCCTCCTCCCCCGGGCGTGGAGCCCGCCACCCGGGCGGACCGGGCGACGCTCGGCCCAGGGAGCGGCCCAGCCGGCCCGGAACGTGTGCGATGAAGGCAGATAGTGTGAGGCCACGTTAAGGGCAGGCAGCAGCGTTGGCCTTCCCGTAACTGGGGCACTGGGGCGTTTCTGGGCGCCTGACGCGGGCGGAGGCGGCGGCCACGCTCCGAGGAGGGCGCACGCCGCCCGGGTCAGGGAGCGCGGCTTTCTTTAGCAGCCAAGCGCCAGAAATAGGACATCCCTCATCTGTATCCCGGGGCACGGCATAGATTTTCCACTACATCGCAGCATTCCGCTCTATTTTTAGCTCCTAAGAGTAGGTGTGAGCGCCGCGTGAATGCTAATAGTCACAGCTCACAAGCCAAGCCAGCGCTGGTGAGAGACTGGGGCTCCGTGAGAAGGCGTTGCCACGGTGCCTCACGTTCTGGTTTCTGCCGCGGAGAGTCAGCTGGGTTCATGGGCATGTTTGCCTTGGAAATGCACCCTGAAGATATAAATTCCAGGCAAGCGTGTGTTGCCCAGAATCTAAAGAGGGTGTTCTTAGCGCGTGCTGGTTCACTAAAAATAAAAGTGTGGCTACCTAGTAAATGGAAGAGGAAAGAAAGCCAGCAGTTAGGGTTCTATTAATGTTCATTCATTCGCACGTGTGACTGTATGTTGTGTACACAGCTCCACCCACAGCGGCTTCTGTCTGCTGTCTCTGTCCCCAGATGCAAACCGACACACAAAGGCTCTCGGTTCCAGGGGCGGGGGAGAGGCTTCCTGCGTCTGCTGGGGCGGCGCTGACAGGGCGGCAGGTGCAGCCCCTCCCTCCCGCAGGTGTTTCTGGGTTCAGGGAGAGCGCAGTGTCCTGAGCAGTCACTGGCGAAGTGGGGAAAAAGAAACCGTGACGTGGCAAGGTGTCCTTGAGGCAGCCCCATGAGCCCCCGCCGGCTGCCCACGGTCCTGGCTCCTGCACGCAGTCCCCCGCCAGGCAGGGCGACCTGCCGACCTCCCGCTTCCCTTTTCTCTTCATCTCAGAGAGGAACGACCAGACGGAGCAGGAGGAAAGGCGAGAAATCAAGCAAAGGTTGACGAGAAAGGTACGGTCGCTGGAGCGTCTTATTTCCTGAACATTGAGGGACAGCAGGGGAGGGGAGAAGCCTGCCCGCAGCACGTGTGGCAGGTGGTGCGGGGCGCAGGGCCCCGCCCTTGGCCGGCCCGTGACGGCCCGTAGCCGCGGTCCTCACCCAGCGCAGGACCTGGCCTGGCGTGGCAGCGCCTCCCCGGCGGCCTTTCCCGTGTTCTTGGGAGGCCAGGTGTTGACGGGGCATTTTCTCCATTTGTCTGGGGTCATCGCACAAGGCCTCCGAGAGCACAGCTGGGTGTCCGGGCGTGGCCCCCCCAGCCTTCCCAGGAGCCTTGAGTGTGTCTGGAAGCTGCGGGGGCGGGACGCAGGGGTGGCCCGGGGGCCTGTGCGGGACTCAGGCGATGACAGTGGAACGGACCGCGGCTGGCGCAGGCGGCCGCCCTGCCGCCCTGGGCGCCCCCGTGCAGCCCAGGCGGCTCCAGAGGCCGGTCTGGTGGCGCCTCCCCTTCTGGTGTCACCGTCACCGTCAGCCTCGTAAATAAAACCTCGTCCTGGTGGAAATGAAGAGAAGCAGCCCCTTCGCTGAGCTTGCGCCGGGCTTGGCAGTGCTCGTCGCTGCCAGCGCTCTGACTTGGCCGTGGGCGTGTCTGACGCGCCTGAGGACGTCGAAGAGCGGCAGCGGCGCCCTCCAGTTTCCCCTGAGGAAACGAGTCGGCCCGTCCTCGAGCCTGTGCTCTGGGCCTGCGGCGGCGGGGACGAGCCCGGGGTGAGCTGTGTCCAGGGGCGGGGCTGGCTTTAAAGGAGCGAAACTTCAGCCCTCCCCGCACTCGGGGTGGTCTGCGTTAGGGGTCTCCGGGGACTGGCACGAGTAAGGCCCCTTTTTAGTGCAGCATCTTTTATTGCAAAATCCGCAGCGCGTGCCTCTGTAGCAGAACGCCGTCACACGGAAGCGTGCCGTGTGACACTGCAGGCGAAGTGTCCAAATCACAACTCTGCGCTATCGCAGCCAAGGCCATGGCCCCGCCAGCCGCACCCCAGCAGCCTGCCTTCTGCCGGGTCCGGAATTTTGCAGTTTCAGAGTTTTTGCTTCTCAGAAACGTGCTGTTCATTCCAAGGACTCTAAGGGCGCTAGTTTGGCGTGGGATACCTAACTCGCTGCGATGACCTTTCGTTTTAGCTTAATCAAAGGCCTACAGTTGATGAGCTAAGAGACAGAAAGATCCTGATACGGTTCAGTGACTACGTGGAAGTGGCGAAAGCCCAGGACTACGACAGGCGGGCGGACAAGCCCTGGACGCGGCTGTCGGCGGCAGACAAGGTACAGGCCAGGCCTGTCCGGGCTGGAGGGGGCCAGCCTCGTGGGAAAGGGCACGTCACGCCGGGAGTGTGTCCCCAGGCAGTGGCACCGCCCGCTATGAAACGAGGGCCACGCCTGACCAGGTGTTGGTTTCACGAAGTTAATCCAGGTCAGGGTCGTGTTTTCAGCTGGGACAGTGTGGCCCCAGGGACCCTTGGCCATGCCTGGGGACGATGTTGGTGTCGCCCGTGGGGGGTGCTGCTACTGGTCTCTAGTGGGTGGGGCCCGGGGGTGCCACTCAACACCTCGCAATGCACGGACGTCCCTCGACGGAACCTTCCAGTCCAAAGGGTCCAGGGTGGGGAAGCCAACAAGCCTGGCCTGGGGGTGAGCCAAAAGCTAGGCAGGGCTGGCCAGAGAGAGGCGAGCGGACAGGGCTTACAGAAAGGGGGCGACGGTGGGCACGGGAAGAGGCCCAGGAGCATTCAGGAGCCCGTGCGCGCTCCGGGCAGGGGCGGCTCCGGTCCCTCCGGCGCAGGAACCCCGGACCCCGCTGAGCGGTCTTTGCTGCACAGCCAGGCGGCGGGGAGAGTGCGGGGAGGCGGGGATCCCTGTGGCTGAGGGGCGCGTGAACGCCAGGCGCCCTCCTCTGCCCAGGGCTGGACCCTGCCTCGCGGCTGCTACTGCATATGGTCCTCCAAGCGATCCTGAGGGAGGGGTTGCCATCATCCCTGCGGAGACGCTGCTGAACAGGTGCCGTGGAAAGGGCGCGGCGCGGCAGCGTGGTCTGGCCCCCTGCCCCCAGTGGTCTCGCAGACTCCGGAAGCCGCCGGGGAGGGGCGGCCGGCCGGCTGGCCTGGCTCGACCAGTGAGAGTGCCGGGACCGCCAGTGGTCCCAGCTCTCTGTGCCGAGCAAGCGCGTGTGGGCGGTAAATGCAGGCATCTGGGCTCCGCGCCCACGCGGGCAAATGCGGGCAGGCGCTTCATGCAGGGCTGAATGTGGTCGCCCGCAGTCCACAAGCTCGCAGGGAAGCTGAGGACGAAGGATAAGTACTGGCAGCAGACCTGGGGAGCGTGGGAGCCCCCCAAACCCTCGACTCAGAGCCCGCCCTCACCCCCGGGGCCAGGCCGAACCTGCGTTCTCGCCCGGCCCGGAGGGCTCACCTGAGAGGGGCACTCGGCGAGCGTGGCCCGGACGAGAGGCACGGTGCCCCGCGTGCTACGACCGTGTTACTTTTCCAACGACACAAAACAAACGCATGCTGGACTTTGAGTGACATCTTTGCACGTTTACCAAAAGCTGTGTCGTATTTGTCGTCTTGGTGTCCCTGCTGGGTGAGTGCCCTAAGCTCAGCGCAGTTGATCCGTCTTGTCACGCGGCAGGGCGGGGCCCGCAGCGAACTCCGTGAACCCCGCAGCGTGGGCCAGCGCCGGCCTGGCAGCGCGCTAAAGCGAGCGAAAGCTGTTTCTTCTATTCTTTTTTGAAATATGTGACAAAATGACAAAAGTCAGCAAGCGTTAGGAATGGTGGTTACCCCGGAGCCATGACACTAATTTCCTGTGTTAACTTTTCAATGTCCCGTAAACCGAGGTGCTGTTTTTATATTTCAGGCAGCGATTAGGAAAGAGCTCAACGAGTACAAAAGTAACGAGATGGAGGTGCACGCGTCGAGCAAGCATTTGACCAGGTCAGATTCTGCTTGTGTGACTTTCATGACACTCATGGTATTTACTTAAGGAAAAGGCCACAAAGAACGATGCGTTCCGGTGAACAGATGCGGCATTTCTGCAGAGCGCTGGCTCGGACAGAGTGCGCCCCCTCAAACACGGTGCCCGTTGCAACAGTGTTCTGCGGGTCATCGTTTTAGGCGCTCCGTTAATTAGTGTATGTTTAAGAAAATCAGTCACAAGGCAATGACAGTAATTTGCCCGTGTGGATAATCCCCTCCTCTAACGGCCCCGCCCTCCCTGTTCCCGGACTCCCCACCTGCACCCATCCTTCACCCCCTGACCTTCCCCATCGTGTGTAATTTGTGTTCTTGCCTCTAACCCAAGCCCCCACTCCCCCAGGCCCAAAGGGCACGTGTCCTCTCTGCGAAGCCCTGAGCGCCTGCCCCGGGCGGACTCGGTTCCAGGGCCGAGGAGGGGGGCCCGCCTCCCCGGAGCCCCTGCTGCGGAGGGAGGGACTGGCTGGTGCCCGGGATCGGGCTGCGTCCTCAGCCCAGGGGGTGTCTCCTCTCGCTCTGCCCCGCGGTTCCTGGCGACAGCCGGGCCTTCTTGCTGGAGGGGAGTGGAGGCCGGCCACCTCCTTGGGTCCCAGGGCTGCACGCTCCGTCAGCACCCCTCCCCCTGACCGCGACGAGTAGTCACCCTGTGACGTGCTCGCCTGCCTTTCACCCCCAAGGGTGGCCCGGGGTGCAGCGAGCCTTTGATTTTAAAGCAGGCGCTTTGTCCTTTCTTCCCTGGTCTCAGGGCACTCGAGCCCCAGGTACAAACAGAAGGGAAGTCCTGCCTGAACCTGGCGTAGTGGACCCCTCTCCTTTCTGCTGGTCACCAAGTGGCCGCGGCCGTGGTCCTTCAGGGGGTTAGCTCTGTGAGGTCGGCGTGGCCGCGGCGCTGGGACTGCGTAGCGCGGAACTGTGTCCCACGGGGCAGCTTTCCGGAGGACCGGGGGAGGGAGAGGAGGCTGCGAGGGCGGGAGAACACGGTGCAGGGCAGCGGGCGGCTCCGCGGTTTGAACGTTTGCCCGAGGCTGGTGCGCATTGAGGAAGGGACGCATCGTCTCATGTTTGTTCAGAAAACCCAGAAACATTTAGGAAGTAAATACTCCCCAGTAAAATGTTCAAAATTATGTTCAACGTTCACTCTGTGTTAAACAGAGTGTCATGGGTACATATTCTGTGGTGATGTCAGAATGCTGAATACCTTTTCCTGTTACACGTCGTGGGGAGAGGTGTTTACTAAAGGCAGGTCTTTTCTCTGAGTCCCGGGCAGCAGCCCGAGGGGCCAGGGTTTGAGAGCCCGAAGCCCGGCCGGTGGGAGGTGACCAGGCTTCTGTGCTGCTGCGTGTCAGGGTTCGCTGTCAGGGTTTAAGTCAGAACTATTTTTAGTCACAGGAGATTTTCTTAAGTGTATCAAACGTGACCAACAAGACATCACCAACCCCGCAAAAACGAGCGAAGCTGTAACGCCAGCACGACCCCCCGTTGCCGGCTGCTTCGCCCCACGGCCTCGGGCTGAGCAGAGCCCTGCCGCTCCGCGCATGGCGCGCCCTGCGCGCTCAAGGGCTTCGGCCGCAGCGTCCGAGTGGCGGCCTAGGCGCTCCCTGGGACTCAGGGTGTCGTCCCTTCGGGGACTAGCGGGCCCTGGGAGCGGGGCCCTCTGGGGCGCCGCCCGCACTGCAGCCGACGCGGGGTTTCCGAGCTGGACCTCTGAGCAGCGTAGCAACAGGTTTCTTTTGTGAAAGTCTCAGCAATTTTAACTTAGAAACTTACAACCTTATGTTTCCCCCCACCCCCCCCAACAATTTCTAGATTCCACAGGCCATAGAGATTTTCTTCTGAGAAGAATTTGTGTTTAATTTTTGATACCAACACTGAACACTCATCAGGGAACTTTCCTGAAGCTCCGCTCGACTCCCCGCCATGTTGCGAGAAGAGCGGACGGCGGCCCACGCAGGCGGGGTCCGGCGCACCGGTCTCGGGGCGACGCCAGGACACGCCCCTCTGGCATCCGAGGGGTGGACCGACCGGGTCGGCCGAGACCCAGAGAACCTGCCGGAGGAAAGCGGTTTGCCCTCGAGCCTGGTTCTCCGTTCCGCGGCCTGGCAGAGGACGGGCGCCGTGCATGTGCGGGCTCAGCGCCCGGGCCTTGGCGCGAGGGGCCTGTGACGCAGGCATTGGGTGTTACGTTGAAGAGACATTTTTCTTCTGATTATGGTTGAGTTGAGGACTCTTTAAGTTCATGTTCCACAAAATGATTTACTGTATTATACTTTTCCTTTTTTATATAATGTCTAACAAAAATACAGCTGCGACATTTTGATTCCTGTTAATTTTGTTCTTTAATTAAATGACTACTTATTGCAGGAAATGGACCTGGGCTTTATATTTTCTTGGGGTCGGATAAGAGCTTTGTTTGAACGGTACTTGTTCTATGAAACAAGTGAAATTTTATTATTTTTAAATCCAAACACATAAAAGAAAATTCCAACTTTCTGTGGGTTTTTAAATTATTGATGGATTTTTTGGAGAGAGGGAGAGAAAAGGAAATCGGTTTTTGTTCCACTTATTTATGCATTTGTTGGTTGAGTTTTGCATGTGCCCTGACTGGGGATTGAACTCGCGTTCTTGGCGTAGGGGCGATGCTCTGACCAGCGGAGCCACCGGCCAGGGCCTCTCTTTTGTTTCCTAAATCGTTACTGTCTATGGTTGTGCCTTTGGAAAATCAAATTGTCTCTTTGAAGTTAATTTAAATTTCTGTATCATTGGGCAACGAACCAAGAGGTACTACCTTGCTGAAAAATTCTACCACAGTGACCATGCCGCCCTCTCTAAGGCTGTTTCATGTTCACACACATTAAAAACTCGTGAGACAAAAGGGTAGGTAGAGTGGAGATCACATGGAGCAAATTTACGCAGCACAGAGGTCCAAAGTGACCTCGGCCCGCGGGGGAGACACGTCAAAACCTGTGGTCGCTGGAGACGTCCCTGTGGATTGTGGATTTTGAATGTGTCCGCACAAACGAGCCCTTCCCCATCCGCCACCACCCAGGGCGGCTGTGAGGGGAGGGCGCCGGCTCGGGCCCTGTCAGCCAGGCGGCGCCTCCCAGGGGTCGACGGCGCGGCCCCGCGCCCCTCGTGTCCCGGCCGCGGCCCGCGCTCGGCCGCACGCCACACCAGCCTCGGCTGCACCGCAGCGTGGCTCCGCCGCCCGAGCGCCCACCGGGCCCCGAGCCCTGCCGTCGCGGCATCGACTCTTCCCCACGCTGCCGACCGTGTCTCTGCGGCTGTTCTGCAAAAGCCAGTTAGTGCTGCTCAGTCCCTTCGCCCTCTTCACCCAACACCCCCACCCCTTCGCGCACCCCCACCCCGACCCTGGGCAGCCGCCAGCCTGTTCCCTGGATCCAGGCCTCTGTTTCTGTTTTGTTACTTTATCTTGTGCATTAGAGCCCACGTGTAAGGGAGCTCGTGTGTCTGTCTTCCTCGGACGGGCGTCTCTCACGTAGCAGAGCCCTCCCCAGGTCCGTCCGTGCTGCCCCAGAAGGTAAGGTTTCCTCCTCCACATGGCCACGCAGTCCCCCGCTGTGCGGCCGTGCGGCTGTGCCGCCGCTTTTTTATCCACTTGTCTGCTGGTGGGCAGGCGGGCTGCTTCGGACCTTGGCAATTGTAAATAGTGCTGCTGTGGACACGGGGGTGCCTCTGTTCTCTCCAGCCGGCGTTCCAGGCTCCTTCGGGTGCGCTCCCAGAAGTGGAATCGCGGGGTCACAGGGCAGCTCCGTTTCAGGTTCCGCGGCGTCTCCCCACTACTCTCCCCAGCGGCCGTGCCGGCCCGCCCCCTCCTCCGCGTCCTCACGGCGCTTGCTGCGTTACTGACGACGGCTGTGTGGCAGGCGAGAGGTGCCGTCTCACTGCGGCTTTGATCGGCGTCTCTCCGAGCGTTGGTGGTGCTGAGCCACTTTCCTAAAGGCCATGAAGGAGGTAAAGCGCTGGCACGCATGGCCCCCGCGCACCCCGGGATCTGAGGGACGGGAGCTGCTGGCGCGGTGGCCAGGCCGCCCTGGAGCTGCCACCCCTGCTTGTCCCCTGCACCTGCTTCCACGCCCTTCCAGCTGTGCCTCTGTAGGCATTTTGGGCACCCATGGAGACCGCCCGGCCTTGTGCTGGCACTTGTCGCGAGGGCCTTGTAATCGCTCCTCGGTGCCAGCAAACGCTGCTGGTGAGTGGGCCTCGCATGGGAAACCGCAGTCCCGGGAGAAGAGTCCAGCCCTGTCCCTTACTTGCTCTGTGAGCCATGGATCGCTGCTCTCCTCCAAGCCTGTTGCTTCCTCTGTGAAGTGAGATGTCTCAACCCTTTCTAACCAGAAGGCAGTGCTTAGTTTTGTGAACATTTATGCATGTGTTCATACTGTGTATTTGATATATATCTATATACGTGCTTGACCTCGTTCATAGCCAGTTATTCATGGCCAGTCAGCCTCCAAAACACTGGGGCTTGGCTTGTCTTTTAAGCTGCGTAGTAGCAGCTACTTCATATTTTATTCCATTTAAAATACTCATTAGAGCCCAAATGAGGTAAAACTTCAGCCTCCCTCACACAGAACGTGCGCGTGCCGACCGCGGAACCGGAGGGAAGGAGGCGCGTCTGTTCTGGCGCGTTCCCGTCCTGCAGCGACGGCGTCAGCGCCGCTCGGACCGCAGCCGGACTGCCCGAGGTCAGCGCTGAGCCGCTGGAAGGGACCCGCTGGGTTGGCCGCCCAGGTCGAGTCCCACAGCTCAAGGGCAAGTGGGAAAACGCGAAGGCAGAGCGCAGGCAGCGCAGGGGTGGGACGGGTCTGGACTCGCGGGCTCTACGTACGATATCGTAGAACCAGCCATTTGAGTCAAAGATTTTAGCAACAGCATGTAGCTTCTACCATTGTGTTTTTATTCATAAATGACTGTTCTGCATCGTATTTCCTTCCGTGTGCTCATCAGGTATCATGGAGACGAAAGAGACAAGCTCACTCACCCCTGAGCATGTGCGCCCGTCGCCCAGGAAGCCGACCGCATCCGGAACTAAGCCAGCACCCGACGCGGCGTCTCCGGTCTCTTGTCCTACTCAGCGGGCGGAAGGAGGCAACCTGAAAAGCAGTTCATAAATCACAGCCACGTAACGTGCAGTTACATGTATCTTCTATAAATTGACCTCTGTTGCATTGATTTGAAGAGAAAGATTTTATGCTTAAGAGTCTGAAGACTTTAAAGAAACAATTTCTACCGCCTCATGCAGCAACGGATACAGTCTCTGAAGGAGAATTCCTCACTGCCAGTAGTAGTCATTAATGAGGTTTTTATGCATTGACTTTGTAACTCATTTGTTCGTTTTCCCAGAATATAATTAACTATTAAAGTAACAGTAAACATTAAATCATTACATTGTTTTTAAGGATTTTTAAAAGTTTAAGAAAATGGGTAATTTTGTGAAAAATTGCTTCTAGGAGCATCCATTAAGTCTTAAGCCAATCTAATAGGGGAAATACTAGATCATGACGTTCTATAAAGTACATTTAAAACATTTTTTAAGGTACTTTGAAATTATGTAATTTTTGGACACACGAAATGGATAAGGGAAAACTAACAGCAAGGGGCCCATCTTGTGGACATGCATGACAATCACACCACAGGTCTAAATTTATTCTGGCGCCTATTGGAGATGAAACGTTTTTAGCTCCATAGCCAGTTCTTCAACAAATTCAAGTCCAGAAACGTGAAATTCTCACTGTAGTGTTAAAATTTAGTCCCCTATATTCTCAATATCCTTTTACCCAGTTCTTTTCCAAAGATTTTTTCAAGTTTCTCATGTGAGAGATTTCAGAAGATGCTCATAAGCAACTGGACTTACTGAAAGTCGAACAGGAAAATATTTTAGAAAGTCAGTTAACATAAGTTGTATATTTTTCTGTACGTTTACTGCTAATGGTGACAGTAGGAACACATCCCTAGTTCTTACTTAGACAACGTTTTGCTAGAACGAACAGTGGAAAAGCTACCAGTTACCTGTTCCATAGCGCTGTAAAAACAATGGTATTTTGTGTTCAGAGTAAATAAAAAATGATTTATTTTATTCTCACTCGAGGACTTCTTTTAATTGCTTTTAGAGAGAGAGGAAGGAGGAGAGAGAGACAGCGGTCGGCTGCCCCCGGATGCGCCGTGAACGGGACTGGCCCGCAGCCCAGGTACGAGCCCTGCCTGGGACCCGGGCCCGCAGCCTTCCCGCTGCGGGGGGCGGGGGGGCGGGGGGTGACGCTTAGCTCACTGAGCCGCACTGGCCTGGGCCCTCGTTTGTCTCCAGTATCAACCGTAAATCGCCTCAATAAATAGGAATAGGGAAAATTGTTGAAAATCTCAATTTCTTGACAGTAAGCAATGGTAGAGAATTCTGGATATGACATCCATGGTAATAATTTTTAAAGTCAAAAACAGGATTATAACTTACGTGTCATTATTTTCTAAATGCAATTCTCCCTTTTCGAAGCTGCGTAGACAAAAACTGTCCCTACAATCCAGGCGTGCGCCCTAAGGGACGGGTCTGCACCACCCCGTCCGTTCCCTGCGTCCCACGCGGGGGCCTTCGTGGTCCCGTGGTGGCGACCCCTCCCTGCTGCACAAGGCACAGTCTCCGGAGCCACGTCACATTTTGCTCCGGCTTTTACAGTCCCGGTTACGTTAGTTCATTGTTTTCATTTCCTGGTGTGTTATTTTGCTCAAAATTCTACTTTGGTTGCTTATTCGTAGCATTTGTGATTCCATCCCTACTTCATCTCTGAATGCAACAGGTTAAGGAGCTTAGAAGGGCGTGTGAATTCACAAGGTCACTGTGACCGCGTCACCTGTGGCCAGGCGGTGGCAACGGAACGGCTGCAGCGTGGCCGCCAGCAACTGGGGGTCCCGCTCCCGGCCCCAAGTTGAGAGCGGGCGGGCTGTGCAGCGTGACCCTCCAGCGTCACCTGGAGTTAAATGGCAGGTGAAGACCGCCAGCTGCGCTGGGCCCCACAGGGTCAGGCTCTGGTGGCTTTTGGGTCAGTACGTCAGTTCGGCCTGGCCACACTGACTGTGCGCGGCTCGCTCTCGCCCAGGCCTCCTCCCACGTGCCCTCCTGGAACGGCCGCCCCTTCCCCGCACGACGCGGCTGATGGGGCGCAGGAACGACGCCGACCACGGTGTGCGGCGTCGTGGTCCAGGGAGGAGAGAGAAGGCACCGTTTGTTTCTGATATGTTTGAAGTAGAAAGATCAAATTTTACTCATTAACAATCTTCAGCCT